TCCCAAGACACATTTTCAATGCCTGGAGCCAACTGTAGACCACTTCGTGTTCTTCGTGTTCCCGGAGCACCACTCCCAGGCCACATTTTGAACGCCCAGAGCCAACTGTAGGCCACTTCGTGTTCTTCGTGTTCCCAGCACACCATTCCCAAACCATATTTTGATTGCCCAGAGCCAACTGTGGGCCACTTCGTGATCTTCGTGTTCCCAGAACACCAGTCCTGTGAATATTTTGACTGTCCGAGCTGAGGCAGGCTGAAGCCGAGGCAGGCTGAAGCCGAAGCTGGCTGAGGCCGAGGGAGGCTGAGGCTGAGGCACGCCGAGGCAGGCTGGGGCTGAGGCTGAGGCAGGCTCAGGCTGAGGCAGGCTGAGACTGAGGCTGGCGCAGGCTGAGGCCGAGGCAGGCTGAGGCTGAGGCTGAGGCAGGCTGAGGCCGAGGCAGGCTGAGACTGAGGCTGAGGCAGGGTGAGGCTGAGGCTGAGGCTGAGGCTGATGCAGGCTGAGGCCGAGAGGCTGATGCTGAGGCTGAGGCAGGCTGAGGCTGAGGCTGAGGCCGAGGCAGGCTGAGGCTGAGACTGAGGCAAGTCGAGAAAGGCGGAGGCTGAGGCTGAAGCTGAGGCAGGCTGAGGCTGAGGCTGAGGCTGTGGCCGAGGCTGAAGCAAGCTGCGGCTGAGGCTGGCTGAGGCTGATGCTGAGGCTGAGGCTGATGCTGAGGCAGGCTGAGGCTGAGACAGGCTGAGGCTGGGGCTGAGGCAGGCTGAAGCTGAGGCAGGCTGAGGCTGAGGCCGAGGCAGGCTCAGGCCGAGACAGGCTGAGGCTGAGACTGAGGCTGAGGCTGAGGCAGGCCGAAGCTGAGACAAGGTGGGGCTGAATGGAAGGGGGGGGGGGGGGGAAGGGGGCTGAGGCAGGCTGAGGCCGAGGCAGGCTGAGACCGAGGGAGGCTGAGGCTGAGGCTGAGGCAGGCCGAGGCAGGCTGAGGCTGAGGCTGGCTGAGGTTGAGGCAGGCTGAAGCTGAGGCTGACGCAAGCTGAGGCTGAGGCAGGCTGAGGCTGAGGCCGAGGCTGAGGCTGAGGCAAGCTGAGGCTGAGGCCGAGGCAGGCTGAGGCTGAGGCCGAGGCAAGCTGAAGCAGGCTGAGGCTGAGGCTGAAATTGCAGCAGGCTGAGGCATCCGTAGGAATCCATAGGAATCCTTAGGAGTCCCTGGGAATCCTTAAGAATCCGTAGGCATCCTTAGGAATCCGTAGGCATAGTTAAGCATCCTCAGGAATCCTTAGGAAGCCTTAGGATTCCTCAGGGATCCATAGAAATCCTTCGGAATCAGGATTCCGAAGGATTCCTAAAAATGTTTCCTACGGATTCCTATGGAATCCTAAGGACGCCTCAGGATGCCTGAGGAATCCATAGGAATCCTTAGGATTCCATTGGATTCTAAGGCCGTTGCCACTGCGACTGTCATTGCGATTGCGAATGCGACTGCGAGAACAGCAGAATTCGACAACTGGATTCCCACCTGAATCTTCAGGGGGATGCTTCCAGATATGCTTATACACATCGCTGTTCGGTTGCTGTGCCGGGATGATTGTTTCGACCTCGAATCCTAAAATTTTCCAGAGTGGACCCCCCCATCGGCTGGTTTGTTAAAGACGTTTCCTGGCGACTAGGGGAAACCTTCGGAGCTCCTGAAAGCCCCAAGCGCCCCTCACTGTGAATTAGCCGCCGCCCATGCCCCAAGGCGCTCCTGGGCTTCCCAGGGACGTTCTGCGGCGATTCGGAGGTCCCTCTGGAGCTCCTGAGAGCCCCAAGCGCCCCTCACAGTGAATTAGCCGCCGCCCATGCCCCAGGGCGCTCCTGGGCTCCCCAGGGACGTTCCGTGGCGATTCTAAGGCCACTCTGGAGCTCCTGAGAACCCCGAGCGCCCCTCACGGTGAACTAACAGCCGCCCGTGCGCCAGGGCGCTCCTGGTCTCCCCAAAAACGTTCCGTGGCGACTCGGGGGCCCCCCTGGAGCTCCTGAGAGCCCCAAGCGCCCCTCACGATGAATCAGCCCCCGCCCATGCCCCAGGGCGCTCCTGGGCTCCCCAGGGACGTTGCGCGGCGATTCGGGGGCCACCACTCCGGAGCTCCCGAGAGCCCCAAGCGCTCTTCACAGTGAATAAGCCGCTGCCCATGTTCCAGGGCCCCCTGGGCTCCCCAGGTACGTTCCGTTGCGATTCGGAAGCCACTCCGGAGCTCCTGAGAGCCCCAAGCGCCCCTCACGGTGAATTAGCCGCCGCCCATGCCCTAGGGCGCTCCCCAGGTGTGTTCCGTGGCGATTCGGGGGCCACTCCGGAGCTCCTGGGGGCCCCGAGGGCTCCTCACGGTGAATTAGCCGCCGCCCAAGCCCTAGGAGCCCCCCCAGGAGCCCCCCAGGAGCCCGCAAGGAGCCCCCTGGCAACCCCCCAGGAGCCCCGGAGCCCCCCAGGAGCTTTCTGCGAACCCGCCAGGAGCCCCCCAGGAGCTCCCCAGGAGCCTCCTGGGAGCCCCCCTGAGGGCCTCCAGAGTTCTCCCAAGGCTGTCCAAGGCATCCCAGGCGCCCTTCACGGGGAATCAGCTGCCGCCCAGGGCCCAGGGCGCTCCTGGGCGCGCCAGCTGGATTTCGTAGTTCAAGAGGAACGGTATCGGCGGAGCGAGCGAAGCGAGCGGAGCCGGCGCCACGAGCGCACAATCAAACGCCCGCGCGGCGTTTCACCCCAAACTCTTTCCCCCGACGTAAAGCGTCAAACCTAAACCCAGGATTGCGCATATCTTAAGACCCAAGAGGGTATCTGTGTAAGTGTGATACACAAAGCACTGTATGTCGTACACATGAGAAAGATCGCCAAACCGACTGGAATCGTGGAACCCTAAGAGAAAGATAACCTCGACTACCGAATGAACCCTAAACCCTACTAGAGAAAACCGCGGGTGGTTCGCCGCCCTAACGGGCGCGGGGTGGGAATGTGAAAAGGGGAGCAGGCCCCGTAGCCGAAACATGATTCCGCTCAACATGATATCGCCTCAACACGATTGCCCCGCCCCCACTTAATTTTATGGGTGGGGGTGGTCTTACACGATTGATGATCAGCAAGCGCTGACAGAGGACACCCTGGACCCCAAACCCTAAACCCTAAACCTGGGAGCGTTCGGGAGTGCCTTGGAGCGCCTGGAACGTCGGGGAGCGCTCCAGAAAGCATGGGGGCGCCGGAGAGCGCCCAAGGGCGCCTGGACGCCCTCGGGGGCGAGCGCCTGGGAAGCGCCTGTGAGCGCCTGGGAGCGCCTGGGAGCGACTGGGGGCGCCCTGGAGCGCGCGTGCGGGGATTTAACGGTTCTCCTACACCCTAGAGGGCTTTAGTGCGGGAGGTCGGCGGCCTCTCGGTCGGGGGTGGGGAGATGGCGCACGTCTTGCACCATTCGGCAAGCGTGATCGGGTCGGCGACACACCCCTCCAATCAAGCTTGCTGAAGAGGGGGGGGGTAGCATTGTCTTGAAATGTCGGCCGCTGCGCGCAGAGAAGCCCTAAATTCCCAAGCGCCTCGATGTGCATCTGCCCACCCACCGCGTATCTGTGATGACGTCCACGAAGGACAAAACTTCCCTGATATGCTTCAGCAAGTAGCCAGAGTGGGTCGCCATGGCAGCCGCGCGCTGCCCTCCCGGAGTCGCGATTCAGAGATTAACTCCCCCTGATCTGCGACGAATAGGGCACTCTAGACCCAGTGACTTCTCGCTTCGGATCGGGGGCCATGCTTCTCCGACGCGTGAAAACATGTGTTTGGCGCACTGGACGCTCCTGAGCGCGTTTGGGAGCGCTTGGGGGCGCCTGGGAGCGCCTCGGAACCCCCAGGGAGCGCCTGAGAGTTCCTGGGGGCGTCTGTGAGCGCCTGGAGCGCCGGGGAGCGATCTGGAAAGCCTGGGAGCGCCAGGGAAAGCTCGGGGGGCGCCCGGACGCGCTTGGGAACGCTTGGGCGCGCCTGTGAACGCCTGGGAAGCTCCTGGGAAGCTCCTGGGAACGCCTGGGAGCGCCTGGGAACGCCTGGGGGCGCGCGTGGGAATTTACGGGCTTTCCTAAACTCGAAAAGGCTTTAGTGGGAGGTCGCCGGCCTCTCGGCGCTCGGCAGCCGACGGCCCATGGCGGAACGCAGCATTCTGGAACCAGTCTCAGAGCCTAGTAACTAGTAACGCAGGGATCATCAAAACAAATTGGCCTCCAAAATTGCCCAACAGCTCGAAAGTTGCCCAGAACCCTGCATGAGTTTTCACCCATGAGTGGCCCTCCCCAAATTGCCCAGTCGCACGGTGAGTCTTGCTTTCGCTCGACCCGCCTGCATCCTCAAGCGGCGAACGCCTGGAGGCGCCGTCAACACGGGATTTGTATTGCGCTCCGCCTGCACTCAGTCGCTGATCACCCCGGGCGGCTGCCCGGAGGGGCTCTCCGAAGTCTCTGCCTCGTCTGCCTGCGAGCCGACGACGAGGCTCTGCCTCCTGCCGTCGAGATAGTGCACTGAATTTGCAACACAAGCGTGAAACACCCAGGCGGCGCCCAGGGCAGGGCAGGCAGCCGCCGGCCAGCCGTCGCGGAGCCGCGCGGAGGGGAGGGGGGGAAGAGCGGCAGGGGGAGCGCAGTGGCACGGGGTCCTCCTCTTCTCTCCCCACCCCTCTCCCCGCATCCCTGCCTCCTCGGCTCCCCTTCTCCCGCCCCTCCCCTCCCCCATCCCTTCAACCTGCTCCTCTCCTCTCCTTTCCCTCCCCGCCCTACCCCCCTTTGCTTCATTGATATTTTTTATCCTTCTTCTTCTTCTTCTTCTTCTTTTTCTTCTTCCTCTTCTCTTTCTCCTTATTATTTTTCTTCCTCACCTCCCCCTCGTCCTCCAAGGGGGACGACAGGGGAGAAGGCCGATGCTCTGTCCCCGGGCCCGCGTCCCCTCCCGCCGTGCCGCCCTGGTGACATTGGAGGCCCCTCGCGGGAGCTACGCGCCGGGCTGCTCATGCGGCAGGGTCGCCTCGGTGCTCGGGCCAGGTCCCCTTCCGTTATCCTTTTTACTCTGCCCCGTCTGCTACTGTTGCTGCGGCTCTGCGGCTGGCCTATTCTACGAGCGGATCTGGTTCAAGCACAGGCGTGGAACCGACTGAGGGCTGTGTTAGGTGAATCCGCTCGTCCTCCCTGATTGTCCTCTCCCCTGCCCTCTTGGTCGCCGGCATTCGGGGTGTGCACGCGGGCTCAAACACGTCGGATGAACGCCTGGTGGCCGCTCATGAACAGAAATGGTCCGAATCATCGGACGCTGCTGCTAGTCTGCTCATCCTCCTCGTTCCGTTTCCTTTCGCGCCTCCCTTCAATCCTCCCATTCTCTGCCTGTTCGGTTCAGCGTGCTGCGAGGTCGATGGGAGCTACCAAAACGAATGAAGCAACGAAAGAACTGGTCAACACCGTCGTATCGACATCGCTCTCTGTGCCTTCTCTCCTTCCCCGGCCTCTTCCTCCTCATAGTAAGGCGGCGTGCCTGCCAATTTCGAGCCCAGCTGCAGCGCGGCCTCGTCCGCCATCTCGGCCTTCTTGCCACTCGCAAGCGCCTCGGCTGAGGATCCCACGCCACTTGTTTAGCATGCCGTGGCAGCATATGGTCTCGTCCCTCTACTGGAACATTGTACATGTCTTGTAGCGAAGGGGGAATATATAGGGGAATCTGTTTATATACATAGAGAAAGAGAGAGGGAGAGAGAGAATATAATGATACGCGTTATCTTTATACGTGTAGATAAACATACATCTTTCGAGAGAGGGGGAATATATATATATATATATATATATAGATAGAGAGAGAGAGAGAGAGAGAGAGAGAGAGAGAAAGAAAGAGAGAGAGAGAGAGAGAGACAGAGAGACAGAGAGAGAGAGCGAGAGAGGCGGACGAGCTGGTCGCCTTCGTGCGCTCCTACGGCCGGGACCTGCCAGATGCCGACCGGTCCGCTGTGATCTCTACAACGTGGAGAAAAATGCAGCGGTGCCTCGCATTCGGCAACGCTGAAATGCTGCCGAATGCGACGTGAGCCACTCACCGGCTCCGACTGAACCACCGACGCCACCGCGGCGACCACTAGCACGCCCGCCCCACGCCCGCTACGACCGCCGCGACCACCACTGCGACCGCCGCCTTACGACCACTACGACAACCACGCCCGCCAGACTGCGCTCGCCTGCCGTCACGACCACTGCGACGACCAATGCGGGCGGCCACGACGACGACGACGACGACGACCAGCGCCGCGACCACTACGACCACCGTGACCACTTCGGCCACCACCGCGGCCGCCGCCCCCACGCCCTCTACGACCATCCCGTCCGCCACCACGGCCGCCGCCTTCCGACCGCCCCCGTCCCTTGCCCTGCCTCCTCTCCCGCCGGCTGGCCGCTCCTCCCGCTTCCTCCTCCTCCTCCTCCTCCTCCTCCTCCTCCTCCTAATGTTCTGGCGTTCTTGTCGCTCGCGGGCTGGTGTGGTTTCGCACCGGGGAACCGCCGCCAGCTGCCTTGCCCGGGCCTGGTTGCTCCCCGGGTGCGGGGGAGTGTCCTTCCCTCCCCCCCCCCCACGAGAGAGAGAGAGAGAGATAAAGACAGCGAGAGAAAGGGAAAGAGAGAAACAGAGAGAGAGAGGGATATGGAAAAAGAGAGAGGGAGAGAGAGACAAAGAGAGAGAGAGAGAGAGAGTGAGAGAAAGAGAGAGAGAGAGAGAGAGAGAGAAAGAAAGAGAGAGAGAGACAAAAAGATATAGAGGGACTGGTGAAGGAGAGAAAGGGGAGGAGAAGAAGGAAGGAGGGAGAGAAGGTCAACATGATGGTCTGTCCGGGAACCCCAGGCTCCAAGAGGGGCCCAATCGTCTGAGGCCGCGCCTTTCTTCACCGTCTAAGAAGTAGTGGTGAACCCGCTTGAGGCCCCACGCCCCCTGTTGACCGCGACGACCTGGCCGTGGGGGAGTAACCCCCCTGCGCGGCTGGCGAACAACTTGGGCGAGGGAAAGGTGTCGCCGCTCGGAGGCCAGGACAAGAAGGCGCCCCCAACAGCCCCAGCGTGGCACTCCCACCCTTGGGTCCCCGTCGCGGCACAACCCGTGGTGAGTCAGGCGGCACGGGAGCGCCGTGCCCGCCTCACGGACCGCTCAACCAGTCCAGGCCCCTCCACGAGGAGGAGATGGACGCAAGGCTCCGACCCCGCCCAATGTTGAACGGACCGCGAAATGAAGCATGCAGCGTCAGTGCTTTGCTGGAGCGCTCGCGCTCGAACGACATACAATGCTGGAGCGCGCGCCGCGGGCTGTTCGAGCGCTCGCGCTCAATAGAAATGCAGCGCTGGATTGCACGCGGGTTGCGCAGTGGACTGCTGGAGTGGCTGCGCTCGGGAAAGTGCAGTTCTGGAGCGCGCGCCGCGGGCTGCTCGAACGCTCGCGAACCTTCTCCAGCCTCTGCTGGAACCACCCTGAACTCCCCCGACCTCCGCTTCCTTGCTGGGGTGAAAGGGCGTGCGAGACATTTGGTTGTCCCCCTTCCTCTTTTTTCCCTCCCCCAGGGTCTCGAATCCCTTTTAGGGAGGGGGCGCACCCCCTGGGCTTCTGGAGCCTCCGACGAGCCCTGCGAGTGGCCAAGAGAATTTGAAGGAGGCTGGGAGGCCCAGCCATCAGCTTCGCCTCAGGCGAAGCCAAGCTCCAGCTCGGTTGTATCGTAGTAGCGATAGTCCCAATGCAAGAGGAGATGCCATCTCAAGTAAGAGGGAATACCTTTTAGTCTCGATAGCGATAGTGTGCCTCGCGGTGAAGCACAGTCAAATCTGGGTGGCCGGCCGCTTTGAGCCAAGGCGGCCGCGGGCGCGCGCTCGCATCCACTCCTTACGCCCCCCAGCTCGCTTTAGAGTCGGGGGGGGGGGGGGGGGGGGGGAGACGAAGCGTGCGTCTGCCACCCGCATTGCAGGAACAGTTCAGCAGCTAACCTATATAAAGACAGGAAGGGACACAGGCCCAAAAGAGTTGGACCCGCCAGCTAGATGCCTCGCATGTATAACGTACTCATCAGGCGGCCTCAGAACTTCTTGTCTGGCCCGCCCGGTATGGAGTGTGTCTTTTTTGGTCGTGTTTGAAGGTCTGTGTACCTCCCATGACTTGTAGGCGCATCTCTCCGTCGATGCTCCCCTTGGTGTGTCCGTCCGCAGCCATGTCGCGGGTGTCGCACCACTGAATGCTATGCACGATTCCGCGCTCCATCATCTGTCGTATCCAACTGATGTGTCCTAAAAGGGTATACTCAGCCGGCTTCTTCCTTGACAAGGACTTGAATACATACTCAGAATCGATGGTCAAGGTGACCTTGATGCTCAGGCCACCCAACTCAAGTATGTCTTTCAACTGAGTGGGCGTGAGTGGCCCCGCGTGGAGCTCGTGCAGGGTCACAGGCGCGGGATAGCAGTCCTCCAAATTATGGGCTGCTGCAAGTGTCTCTGCTGAGTACCTGGAGCGGACTTGCAAGCGGCGAGACTTGCAGCGCGCATCAATCGAGTGAACGACGGGCTTACCAGATTACGTGTTTCCACGTCGTAGCAAGTTTGCCCCGCGAATACCATGGCCTCTGACGTCGCCGTCGGCGTCTCCACTCAGGCGTCGATAGCCTGAGTCGCTATGTAAGTCGACCTCACCCGTGGGGTTCATCGCCTCGTGCAGGATCTTCTTCGGGCAGGCCTGTAGTTTTCCGGCGATCGCGCTCAGTCGTCGCGCTTGAATATTGGTCCATTCTAGGACTCGCTGTAGAGATACAGCATATACCATCAACCATACCTTGATGCTTAGTGCGTATGCCAGCCAAACTCTGAGGCTGACGAACATGTCTGCCTCCATCTTGGTCTCTTGAGCGTCAGCGTCAGCACCGGTCAATTCGGGATTTTGCATAGGGCGGAGCTGTTTGATATATTCATATTGATCCAAAGTGACATCACCGTCCTCATCCTTATTGTATCTCACAGCGCAGTTAGTGTATGTGTGCTGGTTGAGTTGACACTTACCGAAAGTATCCTCAACGCATTTGACATACATGTCACTAGTGTCCTCAGTGCCGGCCATATTAATGTCATCAACATGCTTGGCCGTTAGCAAGTTGTTGCTCGTCGCGAACTCCTCGTCGGAAGACGTTGGTCGGAAGCCAACTCCTCTGGTGGTTCTCCTGGGCTTAAGCGAGACAGCCCGTGGGCGCCCTTAGTGCCTGTGCCCGGTTTCTAACGCTGTAGACAGCGCTTTGACTCGTCGTAGTTCTCGAATCCCGGGAGAGCACGGAGCGCAGTTGCCGATCCAGGCGACAAGGTCAAGCGCACCACGCGTTCCATGTCACCAGTTGCCTCAGCGAGTTCCTGATAGGTCAATCCCCTCAGGAAGGCCATGCTGATGTCGCGGGGGGCAAAGATCCACTGCTTCTTGCACGCTGCCATGCTCGCAAATAACCTCTGGCTAGACCTTCTGGCTGTTCCCGAACATGTTTCTACGTCGAAAGCTTCAAGGTCCATGGGGCCTCGAAGCACCTAAAGAAGTCGGATGGTACGTTCCATCTCACCCTTTTCGTCCTTCACGAATTTCAAATGGTTTACATATCTCGAAGTCATGATGTTCGACGCTTTGGCTATCTCTTGCATCTTAACGCATTTGTTTCCGAACCATGTCTTGGGCTCAGTGAAAAAAGGGCCTTCGATATTTTCTCGGGATTTGCCTGAATATCAACTTTGGTGAGGAGGTCGTCTTCCTTGACAACCGCAGCTCGCTTTGCAGCGTCAGTAGCATATGCTCGCATAGTGGTCGCCCGGTCGGCGTCTAACAACATGTGTTGCAGCTCGGACAAGACTACCTTTGACATGTCTGTCATAAAGCACAGTTCAACGCATCGACCGTTTTCGTCAGAGTCGATGTCCGTAGCTGTCGTCGTCAATCATGGTGCACAAGGGGGCGTAGTACGTCTCCTCGATATCGGGATCGCGAGTGCGCCCCCACTTCGGCAGGTGTCCCCGCTGTTCACCAGCTACAGTGACCAGCGCACTCTGATCAGGAACCATCTGTGCGGGTACGGTAACAAAGGTCTTATAGTGGGGTTGCCTCCAAGAGTTCCTTTTCCTCTCGCAACCCTGCGTGCCGCACCTCCATGACATGTGACTCAAGATCAGCTTCTGACTCCTCGTAGATCGTGGACAGCCGTCCGTCATCATGTTCTGGTTCGGCTTCTGATGCCTCTCTTGTGGCTCCTTCAGGTGTCGGCGCATCAGCCAAGTCCTAAAATTCTGACATGTCCTGATCGAAGCCTGCCTGCGGTTTGGTGGGCTCCAGGCATTGAATGATTCGTGAATGTGCTGATCCAATTATATCGCATATATTCAGAGCAGTACCTTCCGCTTCGTAGTAGTGGAATCCTGGACTCACATCGTTGTCGTAAAGGACCACTGCGCAGCCGTCAGCATAAGTAACCGGAAGTCGCTTATGTATACTCTTGGCTAATCTGACCGAAACTACGTTCTCGATGCGGCAGGAGTGTCTGATGAGATGATGTAGAGCCAAGTGTACCTTTGGAGATAGAAAACTTGCCGTTGTCATATGAAGCGTACCTGTCTTGGTAGGCACATCGCCAAATGTCAGAGCAGGTCTCCCCGCTGACAGGCTGGCTGCGAACGTCAACGCTGTGCGTAGTGCAGTGTTGTCCGAGCCAATATCTCGGGCTATGAGTGCTTAATGCAGAGCGAGTGTCTTGCATCGCCGCATTGTACTTGAACATCTCGATTGCCTACTCGGATGATGACCTGACCCCTTCCGGGAGCATTCCTTACAGCTGGGAGCGGGCCATTCCAGCCTCCCCAGTCATCTTTAGTAGTCGCAGGGCGAGCGTAGTCGACCAAATTTATTTCGTCATAATAGTGCTGACCTGTAATTGTCGTCTTAGTGCGTAGAGCACGATTGGTCTTAGCTACTGCTGTGGCCTGTGTGATCGCTTCAATACATGCCCTGCGTATTGTCTGTTCACGAGAATGATATGATGTTTCTGTCGGCTTTTCGTGGTCCAGAACAGGAAGGTCAGGGAGCATTGCTGGTTGCCGTCCAAACAATGCATTGCATGGAGACACTTCACTGTAGAAGGTGAATGCGTTGGCGGCGAACAAGGCTTCGTGTAGTAGTCTGGTGAACACAAGAGGCATGTCTAACCTATTGAGTTCAACCTCCATGACGTTGAAGTAGATAACGAAGGATGCCATTTCTGGCCTCGATCGTCGTAGCGTGCTGTCCACGCGCGCATATTCTAAGTTCAGTGCCTTTTGCCTTGAGAACTGCTTTCGCAGTGTCATCATTGAGGGCACCTTCTCCATCGGAGTGAAGTACCTCTAGCTGCTCCAAACTGAATCCAGCACTGATGATATGCATCCAGGATAGTAGGCATAGTTTGTCTGGTATTTCCATCCCAGTAGCATATCGTATACAAAGATCGTCAATGTGACATTTATTGTGTTCTTGCTTGTAGAACATCCAATCGCATTCCACTTCATCATCGAATTTGCCAGGTAATGCAGTAGAGGGCATAACTGTGTGTCCAGGTTTGCTCCAAGCTCTGCATTCTCGGCACGTGTCGCAGACGCCCTTGATGAGTCTGAGTCTAACACTGTCCAGACCTATTTTGCTTAAGATGAGTTTGATCTTAGGCTCCTTCGCATGGAACCAGCGTGAGTGCAACTTTCGCAACTCGCGTGTTACCGCGCTGGGGTCAAGGCTTCGCAAGTTTTGTAGGCTGATTTGTACATCGAATCGTGACCAGTCTGGTAGTCGCGGTCGTGCGGCAGGATTCCCTGCCGGTGGTGGTGGGGGCGCTTCTCCACCTTGCTGTCGACCGCGTCTGACTCTAACCTGTGGTAGTCGGAGATGGTCATCCGAGCTACGAGCTCCGCTTGAAGCAGGTTGCCCTGCAGCCGGCTCAGCAGCATGTCTTCCAACTTCCAACAGTAATGTCGTGACTGCTTGCGCCCGCGGTAGGCCCAGCTCTCAGGCCAGGTCTAGGTGCTCTCAGTCGCGCAGGTGCTGGTGCTGCTGGTGCCTCAGGTGGCGGTGCTGCTGCTTCGGCAGGATCTGGCAGTGCAGGCCCTGCTGCCGGTCCGACGGGAACCGGCGGGATCTGTTCATGATTGTCGGGAAGCTTCCAAGGCTTGGCAAACTTGAACTTGCCTGGTGTTAATACATGTCCAGGTTTGTTCTTCCCGTAGTTATTCCTACAACTCGGACACTCCCAGTGGTAGTCGACCTTATCGCACCATCTGCAGTGTCTCGGATCTCTATCATGAGATGGAGAGCGCATGTTAACGTTATCCGCGCAGGCAGGACAGCCAAGCCCTCCCGACGGTGGTTTCGTAATCGAACCATCAGGTTGTCGGGGAAGACTCGGGTCGTCCAAATCGTATCCCCGCGCGTTGGTCGCCAACGCGGTGGGCGAATATGGGTAAACATGGAAAGGATCACGAGCTGTCTGGAAGAGATCGTGTGCGATCTGAACAAATTCAACAAAAAGCGACTGCGTCTTCGGTGTATATTGTGCAGCCATAGAGAGTTCCTTATTGCACACCGACGCATGTTGATGATGACCGCTACATCGCTTTCGTTCAAAAGGAGTAAGTAATGAGCGATGGTTGGCCATGATCTCAATCGGTTTTCGTATCAATACCCCATGGGAATCACGTAGACCGGTAGTGCATTGATCCATATGTACCTTGCAAGTGCCCTTGCTGTTGGCCAACGTAGTCCATAGCGGTATCTGATCCACCCAAGCCCCAACTGGTTGTTCTCTTCAATCGAATCGCCGAAGATCATTTTGACGTACAGCTACCTTCCCACAAAACTAAATGTGTGGTAAATCCTCCTCATGGTGTTCATGCCAGGTGTCGTAGTTAACCTTGGCATTGAAGTAAGAAGGTAGGACAGTCGCGCTGCAGCTGGGCTGTATCATGACAACCTTAACGAAGCGAGCGTCCAAATAGTACATCCCTGCATCTTTGACCTCCTTGTTTCCAA